TATTTATGATAACAGTGCAATTTTCCCATCCTTCTCATCTCTAACCATCTCTTTATTCTATATCAACATCACATCAAATTTTTTTTAGACAAAACTGTAAAAATGGTGCCTGTAGTATGCGTTTTTTCTAAGGTTTGGTCCAAACCTTGAGGTTTTTGGATTGATAGTCCTTTTGAGCTAGTTTGTATGTGGAAAAGGTCCCTTCCCAAATTGAAAAGACTAAAATACCCTTAATATATTTATTTTTTATTTTTCTTTTTTAACTATTTTATAATTAATAGAGAAATATAGAAAGTGGTTATCTCTCTCTTTCTCTCTCTCTCAAGAACAAGAAAAAGAAATTGTAACCCAATTCCCCCCATCTGCTTCTTCTTCTTCTTCTTGTTTCTTAACTGCACCATCGTGAACCAAATCCAATTTCTCAACACCACCAGACCACTAACATCAAACACTCTCATCCAACCATCGCCAATAAGGTTAAGCCATGGGATGTATGCTCGGTACGACAACAACTCTAGATCGTCGGTGAAAGTCAAACAACCGCCGCCAGAGTGGAGAAGAATGTACAACCTCTCATCCTCGATTTCGTTCCATGTACCTTTAATTTGGTCAAGTGGTGTCAAATTGTTGAGGAAAGAGACCCTCAAAGCCCACCGCACCGCCGACAGTCTCACATCCATAGCCTCCGCCACATTATCTGTCATCACTGTCGTCTGTCGCATCTTTATAAATGTGTCTTGATTCGGGTCGAGTATATTGCTCCACAGCTCAATTTTTTGGCAAACACATGTATTTATCTGTTTCTTATACAGATTTCGGATAAATTAGTGCTCTGTTTGGATCGTTTTTGAATGTGCGGTCGTATCAGCCTTGTGGGTTTGATTATGGATTTTAAGGTTTATAGGAGGGATGGATAGAGAATATGAAGAGGGTGATTGTGTTTTAAGCACCAGTGTATTGAAACATATGATCTGGTCGAAGAACATTTCCAGAATCATCTTGTTCGACCGCTTGAAGATTTGGGTTTTCAAGTTTTTCTCAATTTGTTGTGATTGTGTTTAGTCTAGAGCGTGGTCCATTTGGGGGTTCCATAAATTCACTATAATAAGAAGGTTTTCATAGCAATTTATGTCTGGATTGACTCAAGTGAATCAGGATTTTGAAGGATACATCATTGAAATGAGGGTTTAGTGGCGTTTACATATGAGATAAACAAAACAAATCTGAGATGAAAATATGGCTTCATTTTTGTAGATGGGTCAGATATATATATATATATATATATATATATATATATATATATATATATATATATATATATATATATATGGGCCCTATATTTTAATTTAATAAAACATTAAATATAATAGAAAAAAAGATATATGGGCAATTTTAGTTTAGCGAGGGGCCAAAACTACAACCAAAGTAGCTCAAAATGACCATCGATCATAAAAAGTTGAGGTTTGGACATAACCTTAAAAATACATACCATAGGGATATTTTTGCAGTTTTGTTTTTTTTTTATCTTGCCATTTTATCCCTAAACTATCTTTTAACCATTAAAATACTCATTTTTTATCCCTTCCATCTCATATTTTTTTAAATAAAACATTTAAAATAAATAAAAACTAATAAAAAAACATTAATATAGAAAATACAAAACTAAAAAAAAGCATGTAAGTTATAAAATATGTATATTAAGCAGAAGAAATTTAGAAAATGAAAATGACTTGTAGGACAATATAGTTTTCAGTTTGTATATATTTAGTCCTTATTGTTTTTTATTTTTGCAAAATTAGTCCGTGAAGTTCTTGTTTTTGTACATATTCAGTCATTTCAATCCTTATAACCGACTACTCTGGGTTAAGCTGCGAAAAATGAATTAATAGGGTAATGTAGTTTTCTTTTTGTAGATATTTAGTCCTTAATGTTTTTTTGTTGCAAAATAAGCCCTTGCTGTTTTTGTACACATTCAATCGTTATGACCGGACTCTTTAGGTTTTACTCACGTGGCATCCTACGTAGGAGAATCATTAATGAGTTGTTCTCATACGTGGCTCATCCCTCACTTATAATAAAAACCTAAATTGTGAATGTTGTCGGCTTCTCCAAGAAGAAGATGTCTTCGACTTCGGTTTCATCTATCTCTATACCATACAATGAGATTCTTTATGATTGCTTCCTCACAACTCGAATTTGCACTTCCAAGACAAAAGAACATCCTAGAAAAAAGTTTAAGGTCTTCAGTAATTCCTTGGTATGTCAATTTTGACATTTTCTTTTGCAAATTAGGTTTTTTGTTCTTTTTAAATTGACCTTCTTCTATCATGCTTAAATTTGTTTTTTGTTACTAAAGAATCCATGTAAAAATGAAAATTTTGGCAATGTGTTGATGAAGACAAGGGACACATGATCCTACTACCAAACCAAAACCAAGCCAAGTGACACATGTTTTCACTAACCAGACGAGTCACGCATAAGAAGACCTCATTAATGATTGTCCCTTATTAGATGTCACATGAGCAAAACCTAAATAAATTGATCATGATGACTAAATATGTACAAAAACAAAGACTTATTTTGCAAAAAAAAAAAAGATAAAAAAACATTAAGGACTAAATGTGTACAAACTGTGAACTTAACTTTAATTAGCCGGTTATAAGGACTGAATTTGTATAAAAACAAGTTCAAGAACTTATTTTGCAAATAACAACAACAACAACAACAACAACATCAATAACTAAATGTATACAAACTAAAAACTATATTACACTATTAAGTCATTTTACTTTTTAACGTTTTTTTTTTTTCAAAACTAGTCATTAAAGAGAATGTGGTTATCCAAATTTGATATGGATTTAGGCGATGCCACATGGGTGGGCCGGTGTTTCTGCCAGTATTGGATTCCTACCTCGAACATCCCGCTTCCATCCTCCTTCAATTGTTTTTTTTTGTTAGAAAATGGTAATAAAGTCTCGTATGACCGTTTTAAAATCTACTTATGTTACATGTTATCGGGATAACAGGTATAATGGGTGCCACGACACAAAATAACGGTGCCATGTCATTAAATGAAATTGCCACGTTTATTACCTTTAATTTGAAATATTTTAAATATGCTGGTTTTTGCTATTTCATTCTCCACTTCCGTTGAACTCTTTCAAGAAAAACCCTTGTTTCCACCAAAGTTCTTGTCGATGGCTGTATTCGTCTCAATCAAAGTTCATTTCCAAGGTATGTTCATCAACAAACCTTTTTGCTACTCAGATGGTATTCATCATGTGTTTGAGAATATCGATTTTGCTGGTATGAATCACAAAGAGTTTGTTGGTTTTCTTGAATGAATCACACAAGAGAAGTGTGAGAAAGTTTACTATTTTCAGCTGGATTTAGAAATCCCAGAAGGTTTAACATTGATTTCTAATGATCTTGAATATCAAGAGTTTATAGACGTTGTGTATAGGTGTAGAGTACAACTGTTTGTGTACATGGACCATTTTGGTACTAATCTGCAGGTATTCTGTGATGGAGTAAGTAAGGAAAATGACATTGAAGACAATTGTTCTGTCATGTCAAACATGTCAATGGAAATGGAAAATGGTGTTGACCTAACTGAGTTCATGAGTCCACAGAAGAACAACATGGAAGGAGTAACGTATGATGGACTCAGTTAGGAAAATGCAAATGAGGATGCCCCAGAAGTTGAAAGCCCACAAGATGATGTAGATGATAATGTCCCAGATGTGAAAGGTCAAGCAAGGTTCAATGAAGACATACCTTGGAAGAAGCAGTTGCCAATTCTAGGTATGAGGTTTACCAATCCTAAACAATTGAAATTCATGCTTTGTAATTATGCTATAGCTAATGGGTTTCAATTGTATTATGAAAAAATAACAGTAAAAGATTATTGGTTAAGTGTTGTGATGGTCAATGCACATTTAGGCTCTGGGCTTCATGGATGTGTGATGAGCATTCATTCCAAATCAACTCCCTTATTACTGAGCATAACTGGGTCAGGAATTTTAAGTTAGGGTCAATTGTTAATTACAGATGGATTGGTAGTCATTTCACAAGGGAAGTTCTTGAAAATGAGAAACTGAATGTGAGGATGCTAAAAGAAGAAGTAAAAATAAATAAATTTGGAATTGAGGTTAGTATGGGACAGTGTAGAAGAGCAAAGCAACATGCAATGTTGTTAAATAGGGGAAGGGTCAACAAAAACTTACACAAACTAAGGAAAAAGTCAGAGAGGATACTAAAGATAAAGTTGGCAAAAAAGGTGCAACGTAAAAATAGAGAAGGTGATACTTCAACCACACCAATGGACTTGGATTAGATGTGTTTGTTTTTATGTTGTCATGGTTATGTTAAGATGTATATGTGTGTGCTTCAGACACAATTTCAAGAATAAAACCATGTACTTTGAATGTTAACAATTACAAGTTCTGAAAATAGCCTTGTACTTTGAATGATGATTGTACTTTTTTTTTTATGTTCTTTAACATGTTTGTTTTGTACTTTTTTGTTGTAAATTGTGCACCTAAGAATTCACCTAAAATGACATTGTACTTTGGCATGTACTATCTTTTAAAATGAACACTAAAACTTCAACACGATGCATCCACCATTGCTGCAACAAGTCAACATCTGATTTGAAATGCATTAAAATTGTTTTGACAAACATCCAAAATATAGGGCCTCAAAATATAATATGAAATCTTTTTCTTTAACATTGAAACAACTTTTTGGGTACACTAATTGATTCGTGAACAATAATAAGGGTAATCGGCTAATCGATACCCCCAAAACACCATTACATGACTGTAATCATACGAAACCAACAAAACCCCCAAAATAAGTCATCATAAACACATAAACTAACCAACATTACATATACTAAACCCACTAAAACCATTACCACCGAATTCAAGACAAACCCAACTAACGTTAGTACCTAACAAGACATCCACAAAACGATTTTGGTGGTCCATGAACCCACACTACTTCGAGGATCGATAAACCCAGCTCAAAGCAGCACCCACTCCAAGAATCAAAATCCACACACTGAAATTGAACCTCTTCTGCATCACTGTCATCTGGTCCCTAATTTCGACGAGCTTCAGGGTGAAGTCGTTTCTCATGTTTTCCATTTTGACATGCAGCTCCATAGCTAACAACTTGTTATCAATGGGGATGTCTAAGTCCGATGCGTGGAATCCTCCGTACGAAAAGCTACCTGCTGAAGCCATGATCATTGGTAGGGATGAAAGTTATAAAGAGGGAAGGAAGACAAAGGGTAAACAACTGGTGCTATGTAAGGGTAACAAACTGAGAATGTTTAACCTAAAAGGGGGATACGAGTTTATATAGGGGACCACAAGTAAGAACCCTTGCTCCCCAAGGGTTGTACTGTTCATGCCATGTAATACTCCAATTAGGCTATGGTATCTTGCGTGTAAGTCCACATCATCGGTATTTTTAATTTGTGTCAAAATAACCTAATGTAAAGGGTTAAAGGAGATTTTAAAACGGTCATACATGACTTCATTACCAATTTGTAACAAAAAAAACAATTGAGTGACATTTTAAACCAAAAATGACAAATTTAATGAGCTAATATGACATTTATCCTTTAACTACAAGTAGTAATTACTAATTTATTTATCATATTAAATATTATAAACTATCACTAATAAATATAATAAATTATTTTACTCATTAATAATCATACTATATTTATGCTAAAATGAAGTGCATATACCACAAAAAATACTCCGAACTATGTACGCAAACTATATTTATAAATATTAAGACTTAATCTTAAATGAATTATTCAAAAAACGACAGTAATAGATATTAATACATTATTTACTAACTGTTACGGTGTCACCTATGCTATATTTATGCTAAAGTGAAGTGCATAAACCGCAAAAAGATACTCGGAACTAGAATAGACGACTAGTATATCAAACATTAACGAGAACGTACATAAACTATATTAATAAATAACTAAATATTAATGTATAATCTTAAATTGAGTTATTTATTTATTTATTTTTTTTTAACCTGCAAATCTGATATACTTCTAAGGTACTTTTAATTGAAATCTTGACATCGGAGAAGAATGACAACACCCGATACTGTAGGCTAAAAACCCTTTGGTTTTGTTATTTTGTTGACTATCTATATTTTTAGAATATAAAATGGTAGTTGGTTGAATTTTCTATTATTACGATTTTAGACGAAACCAGTCCTAAATTCCTAATGATAATCCAACATATATATAAAAAATAAAAAAAATTAAGTTTTGACCAGTACTACACTTAAACAACACCAGGTCCGGTTCAAACTTATTAATTCGGAATGGTTTTTCGTTATGAAGATAGATACCGTGTTCGATGATCACCTCTAGTTGATACATCCACATCTAATTAAAAATTTTAACACGCTTAAGTTAAATAATTATTTTTAGCCTACCAAGTTGAATAAAGATAATTGTCACAATTTATGCTGCACATGGTTTTCTGCAAATCATAAATACAGCATGTTGAATCAAGACCCGTGATCAATTCTAAGATATTTATATTGCAATAGGTGTAACATATTATGTGTTTTAAAAACAAACTAAAGTCATTACTTATATTGGAATTTGAAATTATGTTTATTAATCATAGAAATTTGTAGGAGGGTAACGCAACTAGCAGCTTCTTCTTCGTTTCGTCGTTGCACGTAAGTATGCTGTATACATACAATGACATACTTATACATATACACATGTACATATCTATACATGTAGGTAAGTATGTTGTGTATATATATATATATATATATATATATATATATATATATATATATATATATATATATATATATATATATATATATATATATATATATATATATATATATATATATGGTTAGGTTCATGTGAGACAATAGTATTTTGTGAGACATGGGGACCAATACTTGACCACTCATCTTGAATAATCTAAGGCTAAAATAAAATCAGATTACACAATAAGGAAGCACAAGAAGGCAGTGACATTTTTGCAATTAAATGGAACTTCAGGATTAGAATAAGGGAGCGGAGGGGCAGTAAGGGGATTTTACTGTCTATTTCATTCAGGTCGTAAAAACTTTTTATATCCTCTTCAATCTTCTTCATTCTGATCTGCAAAACCCTAAGTAACCTCGATACGAACACCAAAATTCGTCTGATTCAATCTTGATCATCAACATCTTCTACTTCGTTCTGATTCGGTGTTTCAACATTGTTATTTTGATTCTAAAATCGGATCAAGTTCTCGAGCATCAACATTCCTGAATCAAATGAAATCGAAGTTTAGTTTTACAACAAATGGATCATTCTACAGAATCAGATTCATATTTTGCATCAAGAGTTAATCCAGGTGACGTATAATACTATAATTTCTTCTTGATTTTATATTTCTGGATGATTTTGAGTTAAAATATTCTAATTGTCGATTTTATAATATGTATGTGATTATGAGTTGATGTATTCATCTATAAGATTTCTTCTCATTCTGATTCTACTTTGCACCGATCTTCCAAAACCCCCAATAAAACCCTAAAAATCGATTTTGATTCACTGTCATTTTGATTTTAAACGCTTTTATTCATATTCTGATCTTGAATCATGTTTCTGTCAATCTTTCAACTGCTACTTCTTCTCATGATTCTTAGTTGAGGAAGGATTCTTCTCATCAAGTAATAAAAGATTCCATTGACTCATTTTTGGCTGTTAACAATTTCAATGTTAATAAATCTACAATCCAAGCTATGTTATTATGCATAAATGAAGTTATTCACAAAATCTGTAGAGATATTCTTGGAATTTGAATTATAATTTGATTCAAGATCTTAGTTTGTTTGGTCTATCTTATTAGTTTCATACTTCTAGTGTCAGTTAGGTGTTTGGTACATTTAGTGATCGCCCGCTAGGTGTTCGACATAATGCACTCTGTACTGATTTCATATTTTCTGCAAGAAAATTGTTATTGAAAATGATAGAATGTTATGCAAACATAACTTGCTTCCTAAATTGATTTTATATGTTATTTTGTTTGAGTAATTGGATTATCTAGTAAATATTTAGTGAAATGTTGTTTGATAATTTGATATTCTAAGTATTCTAGTTTGATAAGTAATATGGTACTTCTTAATTTGACTTTGATGTTACTTTGTTTGATAAGTTAGATGATCCAGTAAAAATATTAGTAAAATAGTCTTTGGTAACTTAATATTCTAGGTATTATGATTTGTAAAGTTAGGTGTTACTTCATAAATTTGATTTAAGATGTTATTTTATTGATTAACCAGATGTTACTGCTTTCTTTGATAATTCAAAACTAAAATACATTTTGAGAATTTGTTAAATCTATCCTGACATAATTGAATTCATCTCTTTATGTTTTAGTTTGATAATATTAGATTCAAATTTAGATTCTACATAATGTAGATTCTAAATCATCTCTTGTAATAGGCTTTAGGAAGTTGTTAAACAATTTATTCTAATTTAGGAATTACTTTTCTGAAATTTATATTGTAGCTATGGTTAGTGTTTAATGCAGATTCACTATAGCTTGGGCTAGAAATGAACTTCTTTATTGTAGTTTCGGTTAAATACTTTTGAAATTATTTACTGTAGCTAGGATTAGTGTTTGATACACATTGAAAGCTAATGAAATTTATTTTGATGTGTTCTTAATGCGATTCTGATGTGTTCTTAATGCGACAGATGGAAATTTATTCTGGAACAGTAAGTGGAAATGTGAAATATTGACTTGGGTAAAGAAGGTTTTCTGCAGAATAAGAAGCATACAAAATAGTTATGCTTTGACCAATCAGATTCCAATTCCATAAGAAAGTAACTGACGAAGCAAAGGAATAGGGAAAGGTTGATAAGGATGGTCATTAAAAATGATGAGGGAATGGATCGATGCAAGAAACATAATGGAAGGACGTGAATAATTTTTTTGGAGTATTTGAAAGTCTTTGATTATGAATGACATGGTAGTGTTTTGTTCGTTTGAATATTGGTTATCTTTTTTTAGTTTTGAACAATAGCTATGGTTGTTTCAATGGCCAATGAATGTTTCAGAGAATAATAGTCATGGTTAAAAAATAGTTATGCTTTGACCAATCTGAAATATCATACTTTTTATGATCAAATGTTCATTTTTTGTTATAGTTCATGTACAATATTCTAATAGAGTAATGTTATAGGTTTTCTGTACATTTATAATATTCTATTAGAATAATGTTAAATGTTGATTTTATAGATTTATATGTAATGACCTTTTTACAATAATATTTTAGAATTTATAGATATATGTAATGTTAATAAAACTTACTTATTGTGTATATGAGGAATATTCTAATAGAATAATTTTATAGGTTGTATGTTCATGTATAATAATTTTATTTGAATAATGTTCTATGTTTTAGAATATTAGAATATTAGAATAGTACATATATTATATTTGTATGAACACTGAAATATTAGAATATTTCACTAGAGAAAAGTTGTCTCATGGTCTTACGGTCTCAAAAAATTTGACATTTCGAACATTCTATTAGAATAGTGTTAAATTTTGTTGGTTTTTATAGATTTATATGTAATGACTTTTTTACAAAAAAAAATGATATTATGATTTATAGATATATGTAATGTTAATAAGACTTATTTACTATGTATATGTAGAATATTCTGATAGAATAATTTTATAGGTTGTATGTTCATGTATAATAATTCTTTTGGAATAATGTTCATGTATAATAATTCTTTGGAGTTTGGAAAATGTGATCAAGCAAAACATCATAACTTGGAGCAAAAAGGGAAGAAATGGAATGACGACTGTTGAATTGATAAAATATTTAGAAGTGTTTAATGGTTAATAAATATAGATTATCCTCTTTTTTTGAATTGCAGCTATGTTTTCTATATTTTGAACAACATGAACAGTTGAATCTTTGGTAAACAGTAGTTATGGTCTGAAGGTTTAAAGATTGGTGAATGTTTAATAAAATGATATTATGGTTCAAGAACAGTTATGCTATAAATAATAATACATGAAATTTATAGTTAATGTCGTATAATGTTAGTAATATCTTTCACATACTAGATAAACTTAAAATTAAAGTCTGTATGTACAATATCATAGTAAAATAATATTATATGTTTGTCATTATAAAAATGAGATGTATGTTATTCTAATAGAATAATGTTATGTGT